GTGCTTTGCTGGGCAGTCACGGTTCATAAGGTACAGGGGATAACAGTGGACACTGCCGTAATATATCTTGGACCGGAGCTCTTTGCTCACGGACAAGCTTATGTTGCCCTTAGTCGTGTCCGAACACTCGATGGTGTAGCTATTTTACAGCAAGACGATACCAAGTTGTGCCAAGAACTAAATCAAAAGCTGGTAGCGGAAATGAGAAGGCTTAGGGATAAACTTCTTTAATATTGTTTACTTTAAATATATAATCAAAACAACAATTGCCAAAATGTATTTAGCTAATCTGAAATAAATAGCTTGAGCGAAGTGAACAATGAGGTAGATAAAAATTGGTAAATAATTTAGCGGTAAAACCGCAGGAAAACCTATTTTTTCATTTCCTGTTCCATGTCTAATTTCATTTCATTCAGTTTCACAGTATCAAAATTGAGAGGAAATGCGAGAAACAAGATTTTTTTTCAAATATCGGTACTACCCAAATTGGGTACTACCGATATTTGATGGTGGGGAAAAATAGGCGCAAATTTTGGCAAATGTATTGGCTCATTTGGTCCATCTCATCAACCCCCCTAACCTCTGAAATTCATCAACATCCCAATATCCATTGTCATGGTCGATCGGTTACTCAATGTGCAGGCCTTAATTTTCAATGTCTAAGTGATATGTCAAATGTCCTACAATCTTTAAATTCAACTAGAGGCGGGATCGCACCATATAATTCATACTTGTCGAGATTGAGGAATATAGGTCAAGTTAGATTAGAATAGGTTAGGCCATAATAAAAATGTTTAACCAGTGAAAAGTTTTGCATGAAGCATCACAATTGCAATTAGTTAAAATACAAAATTAAGAATGTAGTTTCCGGAGTCAATATTTGCGCCTATTTTTCCCCACCATCAAATATCGGTAGTACCCAATTTGGGTAGTACCGATATTTGAAAAAAAATCTTGTTTCTCGCATTTCCTCTCAATTTTGATACTGTGAAACTGAATGAAATGAAATTAGACATGGAACAGGAAATGAAAAAATAGGTTTTCCTGCGGTTTTACCGCTAAATTATGGTGTTGTTGTATTTGTCTAAGGAGATAAATTTCTCTTAGCACGGCAACTTATTTAGCCTGAAACAATATTATGTTACAGTGAAGTTTGCGATGATAATTTGAGTCACATGTAAGTAACACGTGCTCTTCAAAAAAGTAGATCTCACAGTAAACAATACGTACCTCCACTAGTTACTGCTGGATAATTAAGGAATTCGAAACATTTATGCTCACTTTATTACTTTGTTTTGCTCTTTTTAACATCTTTTCAACCATATTTCTTACAAAACCTGTTATCTTTTCGTACATATTTTTATGATAGATTTGGCCTCATCTGAAACTTATTAACGACAGCCCTCATTTATTTTATGACTTATCAAATAACTTCTTCGTGACGATTCGACAAGTAGTGGAAAGATTTATTACCATCGTGTGGCTCCAGTCTTATCAATCACCCCGATAAGGAAATATTTACCTTAGTCGGCACAAAAAGTGAATCTCATCTCGCTTATCTCCCAAGATATGATTGCTTAATAACCAAAGCCATTAAAATCGTGGGACGTTGTACGTTTTTAGTACGATTAATAAACAACCGAGTTGTGAATTTCTTCAAGTTTAGACTTATAAGGGAACCTTAAGTACTGTCCCGTCTCGATTTCCTTTCGGATAGTCTTAATTGATGGATAATTTAGTGCAACTTAAACTTTGTCATAGAATATATGGTCCAAAATCACGTTTTTTGCGAAATGTTTGCCGAGAGCTGCACCAAAACATGGCATTTTGTCAATGCTTTTAACATACATAGATAAGAGCCTTCGGAATAATGAAATGAAGTTTATAAGTTATACACCTGTCCCTTATTTCATACTGATCACTAATATGCAAAAACCGACCCAATCATTTTTCATTGGTTCAAATTTTGAAAATCTGCAAAATTGTCTAAATTTGAATTTCCTCGTTTTTTGAAATTTTAGCAAAATTGAATGTTAAACTTCTTTAAATATTTAAGTATTGCAAAAAAGTTTTCAAAATGGATTGTTTTTATTTGTATTGCAACTAAAATTGGCCAACATTTTCTAAAATTGGACCTCACATTTTTTCATGAAAAAAGATATAATGACCAATGCTAGTTTATTTTTCAAAATTGTTGGCCATATTTTTCTTGCAAATTGCAAAAATTTTTTTTAATTTGTACTATTAGCGTTTCACATATTCAACAAAATAACTTCCCCACACCTCCTTCGAGATTTTAAGCTTTTTGGAAAACTGAAAAAAATTCATCGGGAGGGACCCTACGGGGTCACTCCACTATGAAGTATTTATATGTAGGGAGGCATAAATATAGGACGTCCTATATTTATGCTAAAATTTCAAAAAACGAGGAAATTCAAATTTAGACAATTTTGCAGATTTTCAAAATTTGAACCAATGAAAAATGATTGGGTCGGTTTTTGCATATTAGTGATCAGTATGAAATAAGGGACAGGTGTATAACTTATAAACTTCATTTCATTATTCCGAAGGCTCTTATCTATGTATGTTAAAAGCATTGACAAAATGCCATGTTTTGGTGCAGCTCTCGGCAAACATTTCGCAAAAAACGTGATTTTGGACCATATATTCTATGACAGTATTAGTTACACTAAATTATCCATCAATTACGACCATCCTAAAGGAAATCGAGATGTAACAGCACTTAAGGGTCCCTTGTTAGCCAGTCGACAACAAGGCATATATATGAGTTACGAAGTCATACACATACAAATTACTATGGCCATGCTTTCTACAACCCAACCAATTGACCAAGTGATAAAAACTAAATAAAGATTAAGTGGTCAACCAAAACCAAACCAAACCAACACGATCCCACTCATTAGATGTACATTACTTTGACCAAACTGCTGGCTTACAGCCTGGTGCAGTCAGTCTCACTTTGTCAGCAGATTCACTCCAGACCTCATGAAATGAATATGTACATTCATTTCACGTCATTTTCAATTTGCTTTGCAAACAGACAGACATGAATTGCATGTGAATTATTATCTATTTTTGAGTGAGTTATGACTTATTGAGAGTGTCACATTACATGCATACATCAATTATTATTTAATGATGCAATTCTTGGTATTCATTGCTTGCAGTATGAATAGAGTGGTACTTGTAGGTGTGGAGAATTTGCCGAGTTGCAGACTGGGCTCGTTTCTAGATACGTGGGCAGATTGCATGGTGGTACAAAAAAATGCAGCAAGAAGTGAGTATGTATGTATGTACTGATAAATGCAACAGGTTAACAAGTCGTGTTGCATAAGTAAATGACGAGTAAAATATTGACATGGTTTTCCTCGCAAATTACGAAAAAAAAACTCGGAAAATTCATAAATGTATTAAACTGATCAACTATTTAGATAATTTAATCATAATTGGCGAGTAAAATATGAACATGGTTTTCCTCATAAACTAAAAAAAGACTCGCAAACTTGCCCAATTTATTAAATTTATCGATTATTTAATCTAATTTGAACTAATTCTGGAATTATCGATCATTATTTTTCGATTATTCGCTATGTTAGCTCTATTATCAGTCCTGCGTAATAAAAAAAGGTTATTAACATTTCTAAGAAACGCATACATAAGAATTTCAACACCCAGCACATTCCAGGTCACAAGACATATCTCGAGGCATTTAAAACCACCTACTCACTAATTGGTGGACCAACTCGTCAAACTGTGAAAAGTAATATGTAAGCGATGCCGGTGGGGTGACCATTTATTAAAAATTGTTCACCTTTCATACAAACCATGCAAGATCAAAATATTAAAATACTGCTCTATCACTCTCAATATTATTATACAACATTTAATTACATGGATACACACGGAGACGCCCTTCTCACTTTGGCATCATGTGATTCTCCTATGTGTACACGATACGATGCGATACGACCAACATATTAATTCCGAAGCAGCCAGGACAAAAAAATTGCTTTTGACAAGTTGAAAAGTTTTTGGTGGTCGTGGTGATCGTGACACAGGTTTCGAGTCGAAGATAAAATCGGCGAATGCAAACCAAACCACTCAACCTTGGACTTGTTTACTTCATCGCAAATAGAAGGAGAAGAAGAAGACTTATAAAATTATCATAAAACATTAATTAACAGGATAGTTCGGTAGTGCAAAAGGTGTCCTCATGTCCAGTCCAGTCGATTGTTTCAAGTAGTTGCCTTGAAGCGATTGGACGGGACGGAGAGTCGTTCTGCATTTTATTATGGGCACACTAAGCAATGTGGTGACAAAATTGGCACCGAGGGGGTAAAAATTTACACGAAATTGATATTTGTCACCATCCCGCCGTACCAAAATTTATTTAATTAAGCGTGGTTGACGACAACTCTTGTCACCGAGGAGGCATAAATCGTTACCAACGACGCACATATATCTATTTATAATGCGTATGTACTTTCGGTGATAATTTTGTCGCCACATTATTTAGTATGCATCTCCATACAAAATGTTCCTACCAAATAGATACGTGCTGCTATATGGGTTCATGATTGGCTCTGCATTTTGCTTAACATCAACATTTGCTTTTCTTAATGTGAACTGGCATTCAATTTAGTCGAGTTGCAACAAAACCGAGTCGTACACATTTTTTCTTACGCGATTCGGTTCATGCTTGGTTAGGTGTAAGTATGCATAGTTAGCTAACTATGTATTATACATATACTTATTTTAGACGGATATACTTATGATGCTTCTCTTTTATTGGTTCCTTTTGGTGGTGTGGTCGTCTTTATGTTCGGATAAGAACTACTAACCAACATACTGAGAAATGTATGGTACATGTACATGTACATGTATTTGATAAAGAAAAGATGCTGCCATGCCGCATCTGCAATTCTGCCCCGTTTTTTATTCTTCTTCTCAAGCTTCTGCTCCTACTTGGTCTTCATCGCCGGGGTAAAGAGTTCCAGTCGAAAGGGAGATCCTGCTGTGAGAGGAGAGATAAAATTGAGACTTTTTTACAATTCATTCCATTTGTGTTTTACTTACTTACTTTTCTTTTTTTATGCGAGAATAGCTTGAATTTCATTAGTTACACGAGGTCTTTAAACTCGGGAAGTCGTTAATTTTTAATAATCCGTGCAATTTTTGATACATACTTTTTTTCTTAAGCCGGCCAGTGGGGATAAGGGTGAGATTTTGGATAAGGTGTGACGCGATTCTGAGAATTGTTGGATTCTTTTGTATGCAAACTGTTTGTTTAATTGTTAAGTTTGTTTTCTTTGTTGAAGAATTATCACGCCATATTTTTTGTGGAGAGGAAATTCATAGACAGAAAAAGGGACATAATTAATTCTAGTCAGTGAAAATGGTTCCGTGGAGACCACTTGTTACCGTCGCGATAGGATTTTGCGAATCCTTGATTTTCTCCGGGTTAATTTTTGGGTGGCCGAGTTTGGTTCATGTGTTACAAATTGAGGGGGTTTATTCACACTTGTGTCTCACTGGGGAGGATTATGGTCAAAATGCGACTAGTTTGTTGCTTGGAGGAGGAAATAATGCGACTGGAGATGACCACGTGATCATTGTAAGATGTTGGATTAACAGTTTGTGGACAATTTATTGACTGATGAAATTTGATGCGTTAACTCTTTGATAAATATTACATAGTTGAAATTTACATGTACATAGTCCGACCATAAGTTCCCGTGAATGCATTTCCGGTGATAAAGCCCAAAGTATTAGAGCTATCTGATAGAAATTTTTGTGGATGAACAAGGTATTAATCTTGTTTAGAAATCATAACTTCGTTTTCACAATTTCCTCCACGGGCTTGTACACAAGACATAAGTCGTGGCGAAAACTGCTCGATCGCGGCACGCACGGATTTCCTGGGAAAAGCGCCAGATCTTCAGTAAGTGCGACCTCAGCCCTTCCACACTTGGGTGAAATTTAGAGCATACTTGTACCTATAATTTTGACCACCAGTCATAATTTAGGGGATTAAGGTCTGCAGATACTGAGCACCGTTCTACGGATGAAAAAAAGTCATGAAAATTCGTCTGAAGCCAGTTTTGGATAATTTTGCACCTTGCGCATGAGCAGAGTCTTGTTGAAAGGTCCAATGGCGATTTTCGGAGGGTCCAGGGTTCAGGTTATTAACGTTTGTCTCTAGGACACTCTGAAAATAATTCTTGGCTTCAACTTGTACCCTTTGCGGTAAAAAACAGAGATTTCATTTCTCCAGCCAACTTGCTCCCATGCACACCACGGTGATGACTTCGTATTGACTTCCGCATACTTAAACGGATGTCAGACTTCTGTACAACAAATATCTGGCCTTTTTTTCTATTAAATTTTTTGCCAACGGTGAAAAGTCTGAAATACTTTTGGCACGAAAATTGGCGCGTACCACGATCGACCTGTGGCCGTCACGAGTTATGTCTTGTCTAATTGCCCGTGGACGAAATCTTGACAAAGAAGTTATGATTTCTAAACAATATTAATACCTTGTTAATCCATAAAAATTTCGAACAGATAGCTCTAATACTTTGGGATTTATTACCGGAAATGCATTTACGAGAACTTATGACCCCACTATGTAAACTAAAGTTTTTCATAGAATAATTTTTTTAATTCATAAATGAAAGATTCAGAATTAAACCTTTTCATGCAATAATTTTTTTCATTCATAAATTCATGAATTTTTAAGTCTCGTGTTGATGCGAATTTAAAAATTGACGATTTATTATAATTCCAACACATTAAGAAACTAATTTCAACTCCGGACTAAACTTTTGTCTCAAATTTCCAGAAATGTAAAGACCAAGACAACATGTTCGGTCTGTTATATTCCGTCATGTTGGCAGCATTTGGCATTCCATCCGTAATTATTGGATTCTCCCTGGACTACTTGGGTCTCCGGTATACGAGATTGTTCGGAAAGTGAGTGTGTCATGTTATGTGACCATTTCCGGTCAAGATGTGACGTGGTTAAATGAAACATCTGCCTATACATAATGTCTTTTTTGCATGAATTTTAGCACAATGGTTCTGGCTGGATTTTTATCGCTGTCTTTCGCAACAGCAGGTAAATATGAGGATACGATTCTTTCTTTATGCTTCTTTAAAGGAATGTTTTTTACGAGGGGAATTGAATTGAATAGAAACCCCGTGGCTCCTATGGCCTGGAATGCTGTGCATTTGCCTTGGTAAGCATATTTGTAATATATCTGTATTAATAATATTTTTACATTTTATAACAAGACCTTTAATATATTAGCGCATATTAATATATATTATTATATTGTGCACCAGGTGCGAACACCCTCCGGTTGTGTGCCCTCCAGTATGGGAACGCTTGGCCGGAGAAGCGATCAACAATCATGTTTCTGTACACGTCTGCCCATGCTATCTCCACGACGGTGTTTCTCATGTTTCAGGTAAAAAGGGATAGGGTTTAAGTAAGGGATGAAAAGAGGAATCTTGGGCGAAGGAATGTTTCCGTTTTTGGAATTTGAGAGATAATTGGTTGATTTTGGGATGGGATGGGATGGAGAAGAATTTGGGATTTGGTGGTTTGGGATGCATTTTGGTCATGTATATATCTACCACGGATACGAAGGAATGGTTTAGGATTAGTTTAATGTTGAATACGTATGAAAATTTTAGGCTTTAAAATTTCCAGGTCTTTAATGAGGAAATGTAATCGTTTATCATTTTCATGAGGGTATTTTAGTGGAATTTTTTCATGTTTTAAGATTTTCATTTTTATATTTTTTTTGTGATTACTTAACCTGCCCTCAATTTGCATTTGCATAACTATTATTAGAATAATTTGTTGCGCGATACATATCATGCATACATAGCTATTTATTTATTTGTTGTAGAAACGACATCAATTTATCTTCCATTCGCCTTTATATATTTCTAAAATTAGAAATTTAGAATTTAATGCTCGTTCATAATTTGCTATTAATGGGCGTACTCACGACAACTTCTTATTTCGCATCGCAACTCATTTAGCAAACTTGCGAAGATCAAAATATTTCTGTCGTGAGGGGATTCGCAAAATATGACTTCGCAAAACTCCCTTATCTCGCAAATCTACAGAAAAACACCTATTTTGGTATTGTTTCCATAGATTTCTGTAATTTCTCTTGCAGAATTACTTTGCGAAATAATTTTGCGAAATAAGGACATACTCAATTGCTGGGTAAATTTGCGAAAAAAAATCCCATGGTTTTCTAGCAAATTTTTTGCGAAATCTCGCATATCTCGCAAAACTTCGCAAGTTATGTTGCTATGCTCAATTTGCGAGATATGCGAGATATGCGAAGGTTGACGTGAGTACGCTCAATGTTTAAAAATTATTTATTTTTTAGACACAAATTTAAAAAAAAATCATACTGATGACTGAAGAAGCTCAAAATTTGTTTTTCAGTACGCCAATTCCGCCGGCTTATCCCTACAAACGTCAGCCTTAGCAGTTTCTGTAATCTGTGGTCTGACTTTCGTCAGCACTTTCATCCTTCCCAAAATGAAGGTGGAAGAACCAGCCGCTCCTGAGCCGGAATACAAGGAGAAAATCCCAATGAAATCATCCAAGGATAACGTTTTTCTGGAGAAATCTCGAGAAGCTGGAGAACTGGAGAGGAGCGTGGGTCATCTCGACAAAGAGGAAAAGAGCCAATCCGACACTACCGTCATTCCGTTGATGGAATCCATCAAAACCATGTCATTCGTACTCCACATGATCTGGCTCATCAACGTCTACATGTTACGATTCTACATTACGAGTTTTAACACGTGGGCGTGGAAGACGACAAACGATGCGAGTCAAGGTGTGAGAATTTTCCACATTATTTTAGAAAAATTATGAAAAATTATACATTGTTTCATAAATAGTTGCTCTATAACTTTAAAAATTTGAGAAATTATGGAAAAAATTAAGGGACTAAATTGATTTTCACACATTTTTTGTCTAGTTGCGTTTTACAACTCGTTTGCTGGCACGTGTTCCTTAATTTCGCCATTTATCAGCCCAATTGGAGGAATTGTGACGGATTATATTACAAAGAAGGCTGGACAGAGTGAGATTAATTGCAAATTTTTATGAAATTACGAAATTCTCAATTTTGGATAAAATTCTTCCAGAGGAGGACAAAGTGGAACGACTCGCATCGAAATTCCAAGCTCCCGTTTTAATCCTTTGTGTAACTACGACACTAATTTTGTCGGTTTATGTGTGCAAATTATTCTACTCTCCGTTGGCTGTGTACATTTCAATCGTGATGGTCTCGATAGCCAGGCCGGTTACTATAGCGAGTGTGTATACCTATGTGCGAATTAGGTGAGATACAAAATGCTTAAATTGCAAATTTTGTGTACAATTTTATTATGAACAGTGCTAATCCAAGATTTTTGTGATAATGCAGGTTTTATCCGGAACATTTCAACCGACTCACGGGATTAGGATTTACAGTGATTTCTATAGTTTGTCTGGCCCAGTATCCGATGTATGTTTGGCTTTTCCATTCCGATGAGAGTTACACTCTGGTAAGAAAGATAAGAAATATTTTGTAGATTAAATTTAACGTGGCATTTTGCAATTTTGGGAAGTGAAAAATTTTGCGAAATTTGGTTTTCGCAAATGGGCATACTCATGTCAATAATAATTGTAAACTTAAACACCGTAAAGCTGAATTGAAAACGCGTCTGGAACATGAATAAGTTTGTATTTTATTAATAACGCCTGACTTAAGTATGCCCATAGTTTCTTTAATTTAAATTTTGAAGTTTGTAATGTCCTAAAAATAATGAAATTCTATGTACTGATAAAATATCTTTTTTTTTCATTAGGCGAGCACATCCTTTTGCATAGTGATTTTGTGCACGTTCATCAGCCCTGGACATTTGATGCTTAGACGATTCCCACTTCGATTTGCAGCAGAAGAGATTCGAAATCGAAAAAATGTTTAATTCCATTTGTGTTTTGTCATTACTAAAGAGATACGATTATGTAATATGGTAGACTATTTTTAGTAGAGTTATGTATCTATTTCCAGAGTTGTATTTTATTCATCATGTAAATTTTTAATAAAATCAAAGTAATTGCTGTACTTTATAAATGTTTCATCCATGGTTCCACGTTTTTTTTGTCGCAAATCAGCAAATTCTACTACCAATCAGCAATATTGTCGTCATCTTTATGAGTCGGTCCAAATTCTGTTGCATCCACTTGCGTGCCATGTGCGAGATCGTCCACATCGATTAGGCACCTGTATTAAGTGTGATTGTATTTACTTATGTAATTTAAGTATGGCTGGATGGCTCTCAATGTAATTTGTGGTACGTTTGTGCTGAAATACTGACAAGAGTTTTTAGCGTATGTGCATTCTGCAATTAATTTAACTGTCGACTTCTTCGTCTGTAAATACTTTTCGACCAGTTTTTAATACAAATTACTCAATTTTCATGACATTTATGTACATACATGTGTCTGTGCATATGTAAATTTTGATTAGTTTTAAATTAGTATATATTTATGAACATGCCTCTGAGGCTCTGACGAGCATTGCTCGTTTAAATTCGTTACAGTTATTAATACTAACTTATTAGTAGTTTTCCAAGCAATTAACTAAATTTCTGCGAAATTCGTAAATGATCACAAATTACCATAACCATGCCAGGCATGCAGGTATGTAGTTATACAGTAATTTGTATATAATAATGTTTTGTGGCTATAATGAGAATTTTATGTATTTAATGGCAGTGATTCTCCATTATCATTTTTCAAGAGCATTGTATTTGTACGTACACTTTAAATGCTTCTGAGTTACATAAGTTATAAATACATTATCGTATTTTTGCGTTCGAGACTTTATACATAAATAAATTATTTCTGGTTTATTTATTAAATACTTTTTATCATCGTCTAAAGCTGAAACAAGCAAATTTTCCTACGTCTTCAATTTCGCGATTGTGTCAGGTTTTTTTGCTCATCTTCTGATCTTTCAAAAAAAAATAACAAGCACGACACATTTGTAAGACGAGAAATCTCACAATGTTCTCTAATCGACTTTTAAAAACTTACTGGATACGTCAATATATCACCGGCCTATTTCACTGCACGCCATTTCAGGTGGTAAAAATTCGTGGTGAACCAATATTGAAAGTGTCACCATGGAGAAAGCTTGTGCCCTTTATTGTCCTGTGCATTTGTCTCCTGTTCTACTGCGTGATGTCGATTTTACGAATGTACATGCGTATCTGGGAACCTAATATTTACCGAGTAGAATTTGTCATGGATGTTGCGCTAGGCCAGACTGCGATTCTCACGGCGGCGTTATCACTGCTAATGGTCACAGGGCGATGGGATCATATCAATATGCTCAACATCATAATGTCCTTGGACAAAAATTTGAAAAGTAAGAATTGTCACGATTCATACTTATGTAAAATCTAGAGTAGACCGGACGAGATTTTACAAAATGTACTCAAGACAACCTTAGCATCGCAACTAATTTAGAAAATTTACGAACCTCAAAAGTACCTCAAAAGAGAGGATTTTCAAAATATGATTTCGTAAATTTCGTAGACCAAATAAAAACTGTTCTGTTTAGCTTATTTAGTTTTCATGGATTACATATCTATAATTTCTAAATATCGCTTCTGATGGAGAGGACCAGTTTACAAAATAATGTTGCGAAATAGAAACTTTTTGGTAAATTTGCGAAATCTATCAAGAGTATTGCGAAATCTCGCAAATGTCGTCAAGTTAGTTTACTATGCTCAACATTCAAGATATGCGAAGGTTGTCGTGAGTATGTAAATATGCCGACAAAAGTTTCAAGCGTTTTAATTTTATTCCTAGAAAACATTCCATTTCTCATGCTTTTCATGAAAAGTAAGATGCAAACTTTTTACTTAAAATTGGGCATTGAAGGACTCATGTTCCTCGCAGCAGTGGCGTCTTTAATGGTTCCGTTGATTATCGGAATAGTTGTCCTCGACCCTGCATCATTTATGCATCGACTTTTCTTAAGCTTATTCAACATCCGATTAAGACTGGAATTGAAAATTCTGCCTTTGATATTCCTCATCGTATTTTTTAATTTACAGGTAAGTCCCAGATATTTTTTGCACATGTAAAAATTATAAATTTGTGCGAATAATCATCGCAAAAATTAATTATGTGTTATTTCATTTTTTTAAATTTACAGGTGCGTGATTGGTCATATATTTACATATTTCTCGCGAGTGCAAAACGTGAAAAATTTGCAAATACTTATCCAATCTTCAAAAAAATAGACTTCATACGTACTCAATTTTAATCTTGCCAAAATTCTTACAGATTAGCAACGTGATCTTCCACTACCTCGGTTGCGGCTTACTCTACATTTACGCTGCTATCGCTTGGCTGAAAACTGTGGAGGTTTCGCGAGTTCAAAACAAAGGGATAACACGATGGAAAAAATGTGACCTCGTTTCGAACACGGAAGACAACTTAAATTTTCTTCAAACTTATAGACAACTTCAGCTCGTTGACCTATGGGTGAACGTGATTTATGGCAATTTTCTACTCAGCGTTCATTTCGCCGGAACTTTCGTTATTTCACTCGCTACAAGTTTTCTGTTAATACGAATGCCCGGTCAAGTCAGCCCGGCGATGAGTATTTTTGCTCTGGCGGGACTCTTGAGTTGTGTTTCAATTGTGTAAGTTTTAAATTAAATTCAAAGTAAATTTATGTATATAAATTTAATCCGACTTTGCTAAATTTCTGTTTAGTTACGGAGAAGTACTGTTGGCCGAAATGGTTTCCTCGTCATGTGAAATGTTTATACGAGCTTGTACCTCAAAGTTTAGGAAGAAAAGTGTGAAGGGTAAGTTGGTAGCGTCGCTTTGGACGATCCGATTTCGATCGGGACGACCATTCTTCCTTTTGGGACGTCACAGCTTTCTTCGTTTTCTGAATGAGCTACTGTATTTCTTAGCGACCCTGCTGATCGCGACAAAGTAAATACTGAGAACAATTCTAAGGAAACCAGTGATACTGAAACTAATCGCCGGAAAGTATGGAAAATGGGAGTAAATTAAATGGCAACAATATTTCTTGGGACTGTAAAACCATGGAGAACCTGCTTTTAAATTTTAAGTATGCATGCTAGGTATTTATGTACGTCCTAGAATTCATACTTAGGTATATTTGTTTCTAAACATATGCATATATATTTACGCTTCGGGGTATTAAATAAATGCATATTTAAGAAATTAGTACTTATTCATATGCAAATATGTAGATACATACGTTAATCAGCTTGCAAGGTGTATGCATATGTAAAAAAATAAGTATATAAGCATGTCTTTACATTTCTACATATTTGTGTATGTTAAACATCCCATGCTAGGAAATTATTTTAATTTCATCATTCTATAACAAATTTGTAGTCGTGTGTGCTGACGCTGACATTTATGCAAATATATATGTACATAACTGCGAAGGAAAAATATCCCGGCATAATTAAGCACTTAAGAAATTATCTCATTTTCTATAATTTGTAATTTATGAAAAAACCAGACCAATTTTTGCTAATGTCAAGTTATCCATGCCCAAAAATATGGACAAAATTAACTTCCCTTATTATTTGCCAATTGCTCATTTAATTGCAACTTTGCGAATAAAACATATTTTTAAACAAACTGTCCCCGACCACCTTGACACATTGCTTCACATGTATTTTAGGTATTGCAATGTCAAACCTTAATTCAGTCGGAGTGACGACATTGTCCTTAATGCATCTATTCCTGTCGCTATGTTGACCCTACGGATGCTCAAGATCTACGAGGCGCGTCAGCACATCATGGACATATTTTGCTGCACGCCATTCCAGTTACGCAAATTCGGTGGACCCATCCAATTAAGGATTTCATCATGGAAAAAACATCTGCTGTTCATCTTCTTCACCATGTTTTTAATCTCGTACTGCATAATATTTGTGGTCCGAATGTACTTCAAACTTTGGGAGCCGAAAGTTCACCGGGTGCAATTCGTCTTTGACGTGTCGTTAGGTTTGTCTGTGTTCGTCGTGACGTCCATGGCCCTGCTGATGACGCTGGAACGAAGAGATCAAGCCAGCATGGTTAACATGCTGATGTCTCTGGATAAGTGTATGAAGGGTAAGGATATCTTTGAAATGGGGTATGGTGAGAATTGGGGTAAAACTTCTAGTTTGCGTGGCAAATATCAAAATGCTCATCAAAATGCTCAAAATTTGTCAAAAAACTGATTGAATTTTTAATTTTTTTGTGTAGAAAATCTGCCCTTCGTTATTCTCTACGTTTCCGCCGCACCAAAAATTAAGAGACGCGTCAAGTTAAGAGAGTTGACGATGGAGGCGTTATTTTTCGTAGCTGGCGTGGCGACCGTGCTTATGCCGATTTTATACGGATTTGTTGTCCTTGATAAAGCTGCAATAATTCATCGATTTTTCCTCCATGTTTTGGGAATCAGACTACGCCTCGCGGTAAAAATTTTGCCAATTTTGTTCCTCATCATGTACTATATTCTGCAGGTGGGTGATAATCTGTTCAGTCAATATTAGGAGCCGAATTTCCTTCGAAAATTTTCTGAGAGGTTATTTAGTTGCTATTATTATTTAGCTTGTATCTGCCAGGAAACCTTTCAGATTTTTTTGCGACTATTAATATTGGCTGAACCGTAAATAATTTTATGAAACTAAAAACCGCGTATGAATTAATGTCTTGCTATGCATGCAGATTTGTAACGTTATGTTCCACAACCTGTGCTGCGCCATGCTCTATCTTCATTGCATAACTGTGTGGCTAATCGTTGTCAATAAGGCGCATCTTAGGCGACGATACACGCGATGGATGAGATGCGACTTGATTTCTATGACGAGGGATCCCTTTGACGTTATCAAGGGTTATCGGCATCTCCAGGTCATGGATCGATGGCTCAACGTGATTTATGGGCATTTCCTAATGTCCGTGCATCTCGGCGGGATTTTGGGAATTTCAATTGCCACGAATTACATGATCATCCGATGGCACGATAGGTTGAATCGAGCCACAATAATGGTGGCACTAATTGGAATTTGTGTTTGCTTCGTCACAATGTGAGTTGGGAGTGATTTGTATTGCTGATTTTGTTTTTTAAGTTGTACAAAATATAATTTGGCTTGTCGTGATTTTAGGTTTGTCGAAGTCAAACTTACAGCCACGGTTGCGGAATTATCGGAAACCTTTATTCGCAATTCCTCTTCGAAACATCGACGGAAAAGTATCAAGGGAAAAATGACAAAGTCATTGTGGTTGATAAATTTTCAGACGGGAGAACCCTTCTTCCATTTGAAGCATACCAGCTTTCTTGGTTTTATTTCTTTGCTGCTTAATTTCTTGTCTACCTTACTTATCGCGACGGAATAAGGATGGTGATAAGGTATAAATATGTACCTATGTACATTTGTCAAGAATATTAATTTTCATAAAGATGTTTCAATTTCATAATAAAACTTGTAATTTTTCATGAATTTTTGTAGTTGGGAAATTATTAATTTTAATCATCATACACACATTTTTACGTGCATAGTCGTCGAACATGTATTTCCAAAAATTTAAACAAATTGAGAATATACATAGTTTGACCTTAATATTTTTGTAAATTGTATATATTAAAAAACCTGAGAGCCAAAATTGAACCAATTGAGCTATTATACAATTTAACAATTAAAATATCTAGGTATTTAGTAGTCAAAATTTAAATTTGATGATTATTATGAAAAATAGCTTTAACAAAAATATTTTACTGCACTACGCTAATCGGTGTTCCAAAATTAGTTTGTCATTTGTGGATATTTCCATTCGTTACGTACCGCAATTGGATCAGGTCTACGTGAAGATGACCACGAAACAGTTTTCAATAGAACTTGAATGTTCCTGCCAAGGTTTTAGATATTATCTTGTTAAAAAAATTAACTTCGTCTTACAAGGGACACTCACGACCTGTCGTTTGAGTCCAGGGTACCCACTATGTTTTTTAGAATCTACTGGGACCCTTGATGAAGGATTCATTATTATTTCCGTGTAAAACTCATATTTGGCCCAATGGCGTGGCGCCAAACTTAAATTTTTGAGAAAAAAATAAAAATACAAAATTTCTAATTTTTGAGATAATTTTAGCATTTTTTCGACGAACCCGAAATTTCGAAATTTTGTGAAAAGTTAAAAGTGATAATTTTGGAAAAAATTTCATAGAATACCAAAGTTGAACTCCTTGTCATGATTTTTGCCAAAAATTTTGAAAATCCGTCCAGGATTTCAAAAGTTATGGCGGTTTTAAAATGAAAAACCATCAAATTTGGCGAATTTGGCGCCACGCCATGGCGCCAAATATGAGTTTTACACGGAAATAAGAATGAATCCTTCATCTGGGGTCCTAGTAGATTCTAAAAAACATAGTGGGTACCCTGGACTCAAACGACAGGTCGTGAGTGTCCCTTGTTAGAATGCATATGTATGTACATCATCAGCAAATATCTTTATACTCACCAGTGTTAAGGTTCCATGGGTTATAAAATTATTTAATGTAAGATTAATTACAGGAAATTTCCTTTATCTTGGCAAGTTATGAGTTAAATCCTTCTGATATTAGTACTTCTAATAATTTACAGTAGTACGCCATGTATTTTTTTAGTGTTTATCATATTACACAGAATGTATCTACATATCTATATGTCGAGTCTGAACACATTGACATATTATTTACGTACGTACATATTTACATACATATGATACGAATGTCACATATTTATTGTACTGCCATGGTACCAAATTGATACAAAAGTTTCACCTGCATAGTATTTATAAAATTCTATGAAACCTAAATCATAAGTATTTATATGTAACTTGACATTTACGCTGAACATGATTGTCCTTATACATAAATTATTTTCATTATGACGTAAGTAGACAACATTTTCTCATAATATGCGAAAATATGGTATGTACATATTACGGTATTACGGTATTATGTACATACCTAGCAGACATTAATTTGTACACGTGGGATGGATACATATAAACAATGACGTTTTTATGCAATATATGGATGAAAGTGATGAAATTAGGAACAAAGCTATTTTTGTTCAATGATACCCATTATTGCTCCAAATTTGAGAAATCATTCGTTTAATACATGTGAATATAGTGACACGCGTCAAGTAATGAATTTCCGTAGAAAGTTTAACAATGAAAAACGTTATACGAAGCGTATATTTATATACCAACTAATTAAATTATTTAGCTAAAATGTTTCACACTATCAGTATATTTTCAAAAATTTGCAAACATTTTAAGCTCATCTTACTTAATAAGCACTTAAGTATATGTACATACACATATCTGATGCATATTAACCACATACATGAACACTGTCAATATACTGACTTAATTTTTAATTTTTGATTCCCCACACCTTAACACGATACATATGCAAAAATATCAAACTTCACGTCGTCAATAGCAACGTAGCTAAAACTGTCATCAGTTGATACACGAATTGTAGAAAACTCGAATGCTTTATGGTAAAAAATGGTGATCCAGACCGGATATGCAGCGTCCAAAGCGACACTGCTACCTTCCCCTTCACACTTTTTCTTCGATATCGTGCACCGCAAATTTTAATAAATTTATCTGAAAGATTCGACATATTGGAGAGATGTCGAACCTCGAAGTACCTGAAAATTTAATAATTTATTTACTTAAATGAAATTCACTCTCACAAAGTAGCATTACTAAATATTTACTTACATGATCGCAATCGCGACAACAACGCAAAGAATTATTAATACTTGGGGAGCAAAGTTTAGCACGTGAAGAGATCTGATACACATGTAACTTGCAATGAGAGCTATGCCAAGGAGCACACCCATGTGCAGAGTGACCAGAAAATGACCATAGACAGCGTTAATGTATCGATCCAAGACTTGGAATTGGCGATAAATTTGCAAAATGTTGAAACGATCTTGTTGCGAGATGAGATCAGTTTTCTTCCAGAGAGACGTTTTCTTAAGGAGGAATTTCCCTGGGTTATTTAGCGATCCTCGTGGTGTGATTAGCTTGAGCCAAACCGTGATTGAGTGAAAGTATAGGATTGAGAATCCAAGATAGTGAAATCCAACGCTGCAAAGCTACATAAATGCACACATATGTAAAACTAATACTAAAACTAA